GATATAGTAGTGGATACGGATACGGTGGCACATATATTTCTAGTGGCTATCCCATCATTACTAGTAATACTACAACTACCAATAAAACACCAGATGATACTACGACCACCAATAAAACACCAGATGATACTACAACCACCAATAAAACACCAGATGATACTACAACCACCAATAAAACACCAGATGATACTATTACATCTACACCCGAATCCACATCACCAGAATCATCGTCTCCTCCTGTGACTTCTCATACTGCCCCTAAACAAATAATTAAAGATGATGATGACGATGATATTATTGATGCAACTACCGCAGCTACCATCATAGCTACTGCTGCTGCTGCTACTACTACTACTAAAAAAGATAAAAACAACAAAAAAGATGTTGTTAATCCCTCATCAACCTATTCTTCAACACCTACTACCAAAACATCAAAATCAACCACTTCTGCTTCCTCAACAACCTATTCTTCAACACCTGTTACCATGATATCAAAATCAATTACTTCTACCACATCAAAAGATTCCAAGATCCCTACCCCTTCATCCCCCAACACAACTACAAAAAGTTACAGTCCATCATCGCCTGTTATAAGTAAAGTCACTACAGAAGAATCTTCAAAACTACCAACCTCCCCCTCATCAAGTAATAAAACTATTTCATTTTCAGCGCCCACTTCCACAACTAAAAGTACTAAATCAAAATCAAAAAAAGTTATTCAACCTCAAGGACATACTAAGACAACAATCAAAAAAACTAATAATGACGACAATAATAAATTAGCAAAAGGTGGCGATGATACAAAGGTCACAAGAACAGTAGTAACAGGAGATGATGATGACACAACAATCAGTGGTGGATCAAGAATTACAAGGACTGTAATAGTAGAAGGTGATGACGATGACGATGACGTTACAACTAGCGGAACAAGAACTTCCAAAACTATCAGAAGAGTAGTAGTAGAAGGTGATAACGATAACGATGACGTTACAACTAGCGGAACAAGAACTTCCAAGACTATCAGAAGAGTAGTAGTAGAAGGTGATGACGATGATATAACTAGTGGTGGATCAAGGATTACAAGAACTATAATAGTAGAAGGTGATTCTGATAACGATGACGTTACAACTAGCGGAACAAGAACTTCCAAGACTATCAGAAGAGTAGCAGCAGAAGATGATGACGATGATATAACTAGTGGTAGATCAAGGATTACAAGAACTGTAATAGTAGAAGGTGATTCTGATAACGATGATGTTACAACTAGTGGATCAAGAACTTCCAAAACTATCAGAAAAGTAATAGTAGAAGGTGATGACGATGATACAACTAGTGGTGGATCAAGAACTTCAAGAACCATAAGAAAGGTAATAGTGGAAGGTGATGATGATGGTAATATTGATTACGATGAAACTAGTGGTGGATCAAGAACTTCAAAAACCATAAGAAAAGTAATAGTGGAAGGTGATGATGATGGTAATGTTGATTACGATGATTTTACAACTAGTGGTGGATCAAGAACTTCAAAAACTGTAAGAAAAGTAATAGTAGAAGGTGATGATGACGATAATATTGATATTAGTGGTGGATCAAGGACTTCGAAAACCATAAGAAAGGTAATAGTAGAAGGCGATGATGATGGTAATATTGATTACGATGAAACTAGTGGTGGATCAAGGACTTCAAAAACCATAAGAAAGGTAATAGTAGAAGGTGATGATGATGGTAATATTGATTATGATAATATTACAACTAGTGGTGGATCGAGAACTACGAGAACTGTAGTAGTAGAAGGTGATGACGACAATACAACTAGTGGAAGATCAAGAACCATAAGAAAAGTAAAAGTGGAAGGTGATGATGATGGTAATATTGATTACGATGAAACTAGTGGTGGATCAAGGACTTCAAAAACCATAAGAAAGGTAATAGTAGAAGGTAATGATGATGGTAATATTGATTATGATAATATTACAACTAGTGGTGGATCAAGAACTTCAAAAACTACAAGAACTGTAATAGTGGAAGGTGATGATGATGGTAATATTGATTATGATAATATTACAACTAGTGGTGGATCGAGAACTATGAGAACTGTAGTACTAGAAGGTGATGACGACAATACAACTAGTGGCGGATCAAGAACCACAAGAACTGTAGTAGTAGAAGGTGATGATGACGGTAATACAAATAGTGGTGGATCAAGAACTTCAAAAACTATAAAAACTGTAACAGTAGGTGATGACGACAATATCGATTACGATGATATTACAAATAGCGGTGGATCAAGAACATCTAAAACCATAAGAACTTTTACTAGTAGTAGTGAAGGTGGACCAACAATAGATCAGTCTGATGAAGATGAATTTTTTGAATCCAGTACCACCACCACAACAACAGATAGTGATGGAACCAAAACTATTAAAACCACAAAATCTTATAAATAAAAGATTCTACTAATAATGATATAAATTTAAAACAATCTTATATATATATATATATATAAATATATATATATTATATTCTTTGACTTTATTTATCACCATTATTTGTTTCACTACTAATAATCGAGTATTTTTTAAAATATATATTAGATGTGTTACAAAGTTAGATATTATTTAATTGTAAAATAATATATATAATATAATATATATATAAATAACTTTTTCTAAAAATATATAAAAATTTTTTGTTAAAAATCATTAATAAAATTAATTATTTTTAAAAAAAAAATCAATAATTGTTAATTAATGTATGGTAATTAAATTAATCTGTCACCTCTAGAAATTTTAATCTTTCCAATACCTTTTCTGGTACACCTATTTTCGTTTTTGCATCTTCAAGGTTTTTAAATGGTCGCTTTTTGAGAATTGTGTACACTCAGCCTTCACCAATATCATCAATTGTCATGAGCTCTGTGTAAGTTGCAGTATTGATATTAAATGGGCCTACAATAGCATAAACATATGCGCTACCAGCAAATGGCCTAAAGTATTCTTTCCGTTGGGCCCATCCACGATCCCAGAGTCCATCGGAAGTTCGAAATTGTAGTTTGGGCAGTTGTAAAAAGAATAAAAAGTCTTTATCACGTGCAGGTTTGTTTCGTTCATTTTGATAATCATTCAGAGAAAGTGA